GCTTCCGTTGGGTGTTCATTAAGGGGTGAGTTATTGCGGCGCGAGCCAAAGGTCACTTCAAAGGCTTATGGCTTTGCGCTCTGGTCTTTAGAAGCGCCTGGAACGCTTTGTGTGGGGCTTTCCCGGGCGCGGTTTAGTGTTTGCAAACTACTGAGTCGACAAATTGCACAAGGGCAGATACAAGAGGTGGACTGTGTCTCTCTCATTTCACCTGACCGGATTGGGCACTGGCTGAGCGGTGGCAGTAGTGGGCAGCTTGGTCTGTGTTTGGGGGTGAGGGTGGAAAGGATGTTTGTTTCTTAGCCGGTTTTCAGGCTGATCCTGACCCAGGAGTGGGCAGCCCGGGCCAAGAGTGTGGTGGGTTCTTACTGGTATAAACTCAAGGAAACCGCCCGAGATAGGGATACAATGTACAAACTAGGAAATAGCACACAGCTCCCTTTTCACTGGGGCTCTGTGGGGGCAACCCCTGACTAGGATCTTCCCAAGTCAGCCTGTGTAGGCTTCTTTCCACCTCGATTCCGCACAGTCCCTCTCTTCTGCTCCTTGGAGGGCGGGCTCAGTCTCCAGGATTGGGACTTGGAGTATTTAGAGCTTGGTGGCGGCAGAAAAAGAGTGGACTGGTTTCCCTGCACCTCTGACCCACTTGGCTCATCCCCTGGCCAGAGTGTCTGGACTTCCCTCAGGTCTGAAGCTCTCCCCTCCCCCATCCTGCCAAGGATTTTTATGTTAAAGGCCTCTTCTTGCTCCCCAGGAGCCAACTGAATCTCCTTTCTGCTGGGGAGAAGGCATCTGGATGGCTGCGGGCACCATATACAATAGTCACATTGATTATGAAACCCTTAAATAGGGTAAAGCCTCTCGACATTAAGTGTTTGTAAGAAAGAACCAGCTGCAACTCAGAGTTTTCCATTTTGTTCTAGATCCACCTCCACAGAATATCAAAAGAAACCCTAAGAGCTTACAAAAAGAGAGACAAAATTCAAGAAAACACACACATACATAACTGTGGTGAGTGGGTGTGATTAAAAAAAAAAATTCCGCTATATTCTGTCCTGCAACTCAAGGTAGCCATCTCAGTATTCATACATCAAGACATAAAACAAAAGGCAGCTTTGAAGTGGATCACCTCAGTGTGAACTGCCGCCCGTTACATGATAACCGATCATCGGCCTTAGAATTTATGGCGCTTTAATGGGGTGAGCCCAGTGCCTTACAGTATTGAGTTATCTGGGCTAAATAAGAGTGATTTAGAAGACGCGCCCAGAGCTTCCCCTTGGGCGTTAGAAGCTCAGGTTGAGAGATCGGGAGAACTTGGGTAGAACGTAAATAAATCCCCTTCCGAGCAAACCCGAAAAGAAGTGGCTTCAAAATCCCCAAGTAGCAAAACCACAGGGAAGGGAGAATCGTTGATCCGTTCCAGCAATAGTCTTGGCCAGCAAAAGCCTTGGCCGCCAGAAGGAGATCACGGGGCTTCTGGGGCTCTGGTTTAGGCAAACCAAGGAGAGGAGCCGCAGCCAACCCGAACATTAGAGAATTTTGAGAGAAACTGACGCAAGGAGATTCCATCGCCTCCCCCTTCTCTTTCAACTTGCACGGACTGACTACCGTCCGTGATTTACTAGGATTGCAGCTCTACTCACAGCCCGGCGACTGTCGCCCCCTCCCTCCCCAATCCCGCGGACTTTCCACAGCCACAGTGGGCGAGCGAGCGCCAGGCGGGCCTCCGAGCGTCCGGGCGAGTCTTCCGGCGTCTGTGGCCACCGCGGGCAGCAGGCCTTTGGTCCCCGGCGAGGCTGAGCGCGTCCCGTCCGGCCTCCTGCTGCCGAGCAGAGCTGCTCGCAGAGGCGAGTGCCTGCCACTTTATATCATCTCTGTTGCTTGCCGGGTGCGCAAGCGGGAAAAGTGCGGAATAGGGAATTCTTTTGCTGCGCTGCCTCCTACGCGGTGCCTGCTTTCCACTTCTGAAAAGTGCCGGGCCTTGGGAAATGTTTTTCTTTTCATTCCTTACTGAAGCGTTTACTGCCACCGTGGTCGCAGTCATAAATTTTGTTACAAACCACAATGACAGGTGCATTGATATGCACCGTGAGAGCTCCAGCTGCTTAATAACCCCGTCCCCTGGCCGCTGTGTGCGCCTTTTATTTATTCGGTATCATATTAGGTATTGATCCTGGGCAGAATTAAGTGCAGTGAGCTATCCGGGCTCGGCTGCTTCGGAGGCGCGGCGGGCCGGTGCGGCCTGCAAGCAGGCGATGGTCGCTTCCGGGGCGCCTTCCTCCAGGCTGGAGACTTATTCCTAGTCTGTGGATGGGTCTGCGAGCTGAGTTGGTCAGCTTCCCGGGACCATGAGAAAGGAGAAGCCAGACCCCAGTTAGTGCCCCTTCCCCAGGAAGGGCAGGGGTGGCGCTAGCGGGGTTTGGGGAGGCTGCTCTGGCCGGTTCACCGAGCTGGAGGGTGGAGCGGAGATGTTGGGAGAGAAAAGGGAGGCTGAGGACTTCGAAGAAATGCCGAGCCAAGCTGGACTGCCCCTCCCCCTACACGGCCTCGTCTATGCCCCAAGGCATTTGGGTCTTGGAACCCAAATGAGCAAAGGTACCAAAGGGCGAGAAAAGAAAGCTTTAAAAAAGAGGGGGGGGGGGGGGGGGAGTGATCGAAAAGATGAGCCACTGAACAGTTGACCATTGTCCAAGTGATTTATGACCCGTTCCAGCTTTTTAGGTTCAAGCAGAGTTCACAAGGAGTGGGGATTTCTGGAAAAAAATAAGCCGCCTTGCCAGTTTTGTACCAATATTCTCAGGTTTTTGGTTTGTTTTTTTTTTTAGGAGAGGTGGCTTCTTTGGGATGATGTATTGGGAAGTGGGGGGGGGGGCTGCAAAGTCCTTCACAGTGAGGACAGCACCACTGCCCTTACTTTTGGGGAAATGGACATTAAGATAGTGAATCATCATTGAGGGGGCCTGGAAATTCCTTAAGACAATGTAAGCAGGCGGGAGACCAGATTCTGTGGTTACTCAAGAAAGCTGCCCAGTATTTGTACTTTTGAGGTGTGTACACAGAGCTCTTTCTAGAAATATGCTATAGGAATAAATATGCATGTAAAGCCATCTGTCCCAAAGACCTGGTCAGTTCCTAAAGAAGCTATTTTCATGTGACTGTTCCACCTATCAAGATAAACTTGGTCAAACTGGGAGGCAGGAGGGGGCTGTTTTGCTTCCACGGTTGTAAATGGAGTGACAGAAGCAACAGCAAGTTCTGCTGGTCTGAGCATCTGATGTGACCATTTAGACATCCAGAGAGTTAAGACTGGAAGCAGGATCCCAGAAAAGCCCTGAAACTTAACCAAACCCAGAGTGCTTGGTACTTTGGCCTGGGGACAAATGTATGTAAATATTAGTCGCAGGATGAGGATTTAGCTGTTCATTTGATAGTAGCTTTAACAGTCTGAATGACATAGAAAAGTTATGGAAAGAAAGATCAAGTCCAGTTTTGTTAGGAAGATACTCTAACTGCATACATTTAAAAACACTAATAGAAGTAATTTCTACAACATAACATCTTAGTGTTATAATATCTTATTGAGAAGGGCTTGTCTCTCATCAAGATAAATGGTGTATTTACTTATATTCTTAAAAAAAAGTGGGCAACAATACTACCAAAAAAAGGCTAATGTGAATAATTTTTAAAATTGGGTTAGGCTCTTTGGTGAAAGTAGAGGGAAAATGAGTGAGGGGGGAGAAGAGGTTTTGGGCCACATATGCTGTCTAGATAACGTGGTCCATCACGATGACCAGGATGGAAGGCTGGGAGTTTGCCTGAAAGAGAAAATCAAGAATTAAGACCAGGGAGCTGACCTATGAGTTTTCTTTATCAAACAGACAACAGTGATTGAATGGTATTAGTTATACTTTAACTCCTTAGGAGCCTTTCAGAAAGGGGGGGTGGGAGGGTGAGAAGGGAAACCCCTATCAAGAGTCAGGGGATACAAAAGGAGTAGAAATTTTTAGTGGTTTTTTTTCTTCTTCTTCTTCTTCTAATTCTAGGTCCATTCATCATGTCATGAGAGGTTATCTCATTGGTTATGGGTTGGGTGGGAGGTGGGGTGGAAAAGATGATCCAGAGCAGAGGTCAATAATAATATCTATTTATACAATAGATCTAGGGTAAAAATAATAAAGTTATAATACAAAGTATTCTCCATTCACCCATGATATATGTATTTCAAATCCTAAATCTCCTCACACATTTCTAATGGTGTCTATTTAAAAGTAGTGGGAGGACAAAGTAAAGGGTCTAGAAAAACATAAATAAAAGAGAAGATATTTTCTAGTTTCAAAATAAGTCTGGGAGTCTCTAAGTTCTCTTCTTGGTTTTTAACTCCTAGTTTTCTACATTGTAGATTTCACAGTGCTGACCCACAGAGATAACTGGGCTGATTCTCACCTGGTCATTTCAAATTGGACTATCTAGGTCTTCATGAAAGATGCTGTGATTTTGTAACCAGGTACTTTTTTTTTTTTTTTTGAGACTCCTGGCTCTTCTCAGTGTGTTACAGGGCTTTCTTTTGCCCATCAAAACGCTGGGATGACCTTATGATTGGCCGATTGATCCATTCATTCATTTACTTATTCAATAAGCATTTGTTGCAATTATTACACACAGGACACTGCACTGGATGTTAGGAATATATAGATAAATAAGACACAGTTCCTGCCCACAAGGAGCTCACAGTTCAGTGAGAGAACCAGCCAGTAAAACATATGAGACCATAGTGTTTTTCCATGAAGTTTCAAAGGCTAAATTGACAATCTTGGAGAAAGAAAATTGTATCTGGGGATGGGAGAAAGCCCTTTCCCTTGGCTAGAGTTGAGCTAAAGATAAGGAAAGGTGTTTTCTTACATTTAGGAGAAATTTCTTCTGAATTTTAAAGAATTCAAATAAGTCAAACTTCATCAAATCCCAGATCCATCATCTTGCCCATCCCCGCCCCCCACCACGAAGTGGGTAAGAAGCAGAGAGCCTTGGCTAGTCCTTCTATACTGACTGGTCTTGCCAATGACAGCCCTTCTGGGGCCTCTCACTTTTCTTCTCTGCAGGTCACCTGGAGCCTGGAGGCTGGCCCACCTCTCAGAATTCAGCAGATATTGGAAGCAATGGTGAAGGACACAGTGGTAGTCAATGTTATTTGAGCAGGGTCAGCAGGCCTTGGAACTTCCTGAGTGCAAGATGCAGAAGGCTACTTACTATGAAAACCCAGGACTCTTCGGAGGCTATGGCTACAGCAAAGCCACTGACACTTACGGCTATAGCACCCCCCATCAGCCCTACCCACCCCCTGCAGCTGCCAACTCCCTGGACACCGATTACCCAGGTTCGGCCTGCTCCATCCAGAGTTCTACACCTCTTCGAGCCCCAGCCCACAAAGGATCCGAACTCAATGGCAGCTGCATGCGATCGGGTACTGGGAACAGCCAGGGTGGGGGTGGTGGCAGCCAGCCTCCTGGTCTGAACTCAGAGCAACAGCCACCACAACCCCCTCCTCCACCACCAACCCTACCTCCATCCTCACCCACCAATCCTGGAGGTGGAATGCCTGCAAAGAAGGCCAAGGGTGGGTCCAATACTTCTAGCTCCTCAGCCACCATCAGCAAGCAGATCTTCCCCTGGATGAAAGAGTCCCGACAGAACTCCAAGCAGAAAAACAGCTGTGCCACTGCAGGTAGCTCTCTGAGGGGGCTCACCCCTGGATCACATCCCCTCCAGACTGACCCAGGAAGCCTCAATTATCTAGGAACCAAGAGACTCTGGGCTGGAAGTGCAACCATGGAGGCCATATGTCTAAACTACTCATGCCAAAATGTCCTTCCATTTTAGTGTCCCTGATTGGGGTCATACCCTTGCAGTGACAGGGTGCTCACTTCTACTTCAGGCTGTGGTGCTTTTGTTGGACAGGTCTCATAGTTATTAATAGAGAGCTCTTTCTTACAGTGACATAATATCTGTTTTTCTAGGCTCTTTGTCGTAACTCAGCTCTCTCTTCCACCCAACAAATCTTCAAGATTTAAAGACAGGTATTATAATCCCCAAGCCCAAGTGGTTATATAACCAATATCACATGAATCCCACTTCCTTAAATTAATAAGAACTAGGGGCTGGCCAGTTAGCTCAGTTGGTTAGAGCATGGTGCTGATAACACCAAGGTCTACGGTTCAATCCCTCTAGTGGCTAGCCATCAAAACAAACAAACAAACAAAAAATCCTATAGTCTAATGAGCCTTATGTTAAAAAAAACCATGCTAAGTACTTTATAGGCATTATCTAATTTAACTTTCCAAAGACCCCTTTGAAGTAGGTATAAGATAACATCCCCATTTTACAGATAAGGAAACTGTTAGAAATGATAAGCAACTTGCCTGAGATCACAAAACTGCAAAGTGGTGGATCTGAACCCAAGTAGTGTGACTCCAGGGCCTGCAAAGGCATAAGCATGGGACTCTACTGGGCCCACCTCAGCCCAGTTCTCCCCACTCCAGCAAACCCATAATGGGGAGGTACATGTCCCGGGGGGGGGGGGGGGGGGGG